AGCCCACGAACCGCGAGATCATGACCTAAGCGAAAGTCGGACGCTTAACCGACTAAGCCACCGAGGCGCCCCCCGCCCCGTATTTTTTTTAACCCTTGCATATTTGATGAAAGTGGAAGTAAAGAGCAGATGTATCTGGGGGGTCCGACTGTTGATTTCCGCTATGACATCAAGCCCCACATCTGGCTTTGCGCTGACATCCAGGAGCCTGCTGGGGATCCTCTGCCTCCCTCTCGCTTTCTGCCCCTCCTCTGGTCAGGCTCTCGCTCTCAACATAAACAAACTTAAAAAAAAAAGAGAGAGAGAGAGAGAGAGAGTGCATTGTAGGCCTCAGACCTAAGAAGAAACAGCAGATGGGCTGAAAAGAAGAAGTAGCGGGTTCTCAGCAGCTGGGTGGCCTTGGATAAACCATAAATCAGAGGGTTTACAGGTGCTTCTAAGTGTGGCTCTCACACCTGCAGCAGCGACACCAGGAAACATCAGAAACATCGAGAAAGGGCTGCAAGCCAGGCCTACCTTAGATTCTCCAATCACCTGGAGGGCTAACTCAGAGAGATCGCCAGGCTGATTCTGTAGGTCTGGGGCAGGGCTGCGAACTTGCATTCCTTTAACAGGTATTCTGGGCCCACACTCCCGCCCCTGTGTCAGCATAATGGTCTGGAGTCCTGGAACCACCTGAGATTAAAAACAGTTTCTCACCGAGGCTTTACCTCAGACAAGTACATCAGGGTCTGTGAGGTCGGGACCCAGGCCTCAGGATTTTTCTAGTTCTGTGGCTGATTCCAATGTGAAGCCAGGTAAGGTTTACATGAATCACCTGGAGATCTTGTTAAAACGCAGATTCTGGGTTAAGTGTGAGACACTATTTCTTTTCTTTTCTTTTTTTTTTTTTAGACAGATAGGGACAGGGGTGCCTGGGTGGCTCAGTCGGTTAAGCATCCGACTTCAGCTCAGGTCATGACCTCACGGTTCATGGGTTCGAGCCCTGCATCGGGCTCTGTGCTGCTGACAGCTCAGAGCCAGGATCCTTCTTCGGATTCTGTATCTCTCTGACCCTCCCCTGCTCGTGCTGTGTCTCTCTCCCTCTCAGAAATAAATAAAACATTTTTTAAAAATTTTTAAAAAGATAGAGAGGGACAGAGCATGAGTGGGGGAGGGGCAGAGAGCGAGAAGGAAACAGAATCCGAAGCAGGCTCTAGGTTCCCAGCTGTCAGCACAGAGTCGGATGCGGAGCTGGAATTCACAAACTGTGATATCATGACCTGAGCAAAGTCAGATGCTTAACCGACTGAGCCACCCAGGCGCCCCTCTTTTTTTTTTCTAAGTTTATTTATTTATTTTGGGAGAGAGTGCACATTGGGGAGGAGCAGAGAGAGAATCCCAAGCAGGCTCCACACTGTCAGCACAGAGACCAGCATGGGGCTGGGTTTCACAAACCGCCAGATCATGACCTGAGCCGAGATCAAGAGTTGGTGGCTTCACCAACTGTGGCGCCCACACAGCCCTAGTTTGGGACACTATTTCTAACAAGCTCTCTGTTTTTTAAGTCAAGGGACTAGTGCACTGAGTGGCAAGCAAGGTGCTATGCAGTAGCTCACAACTAAACCAAAAAACTATAGAAATCTGAACACTAGAAAAGTGACCTCTTCCCAGTCATTCTCTTTGGCAGACACAGGTCTCTTTCATCTTCTTTCTAGGTCTGAGATAAGGTTTGTGTTGTTTGCTCTTAGCACGTGTCGGGTCACCCTACATGGAATGTTGTTATATTGTCTTAAAACTACCAGCATCTGGGGGGCAAGGTGACTTGTCATAGAAGCGATCTGAACGTGTCTGCAGGTTTGCGGAGAGTTAATACAGGAAGACAGAGAGGAGAGCAGGATGACGGCTCCAACTGGGAGAGGCCGGAGAACCACCCCCCCTCACACCTCACCCCTAGCTTCCTTCTAGCTCTTTAGAACATTCTGTGCTTTGTACTTCATCTTGTTGAAAGCGCTTTTTAAATTCCTCCACCTGAAAAGCCAGGGACACCTAGCGTGCAAAACCTGGCACCGGGACAATCAACCCGTGAAAAATGGACGCGTTCACTTGTTATTTTTTGTGGGTGCGTCCCTTGCAGACTATACACATCTGTAACTACAACTAGATTTATCTAGTTTATCCCGTGACATGGGGTTATTTAGAAATCTCTCCAGGGGCACCTGGGTGGCTCAGTTAAGCATTTGACTCTTGATTTCGGCTCAGGCCACGATGTCATGGTTCATGAGATCAAGCCCGGTGACAAGCCCCCTCGTAGGGCACTGCACTGACAGTGAGGAGCCTGCTTGGGATTCGCTTTCCCTCTCTCTCTGCCCCTCCCCCACTGGGGCACACATGTGCACACGCACACTCTCTCGTACTCTCTTTCAAAATAAATAAATAAACCTTGAGAAACCTTTCTTTTTTCTAGCTTTATTTATTTATTTTGAGTGAGAAAGAGCAGGGGGAGGGCAGAGAGAGAGAATCCCAAATGGGCTTCTCGCAGAGCCGGATGTGGGGTTTGAACTCACAAACCATGAGGTCATGACCTGAGCCAAACTCAAGAGTCCAACACTTGACTGACTGAGCCACCCGGGTGCCCCAAGAAATCTTTCTGAATCAAGTGGTTACCCTGTTCTTAACTTTTCCCTTTGTTAATTTCAACTGGGTTTTATTACAATAAATGTATGTAAATGATGTCACTTCCATGATTGGCTTACAAAAGTCACTCTCTCTTGCCTGCCTTTGATGAAACCAGCGCCTTTTTGGGAGGTGTCATATGAAAAACCCATTTGGCAAGGAACAAAGGGATCTGGTAAAGAAATGAGGCTTTATTTCGGCCCTTGAGGCACTGAATCCTGTGACAATCTCAAGAGGGTGCTAGGAAGGGGATCCTTCCCAGTCAAGCCTTGAAAATATTGCAGCATTGTGAGAAATCCAGAGCCAAAGGACCCAGCTAAGCCATGCCTAGACTCTTGACCCAGAGAAAGTAGGAGATGATAAATGTCATTGTTTAAGCCACCGAGTTTTAGAGTAATTTGTTATGCAGCAATGGAGAACTAAAAAACATAGCAAAATATAGTAAGAGTAGTCGAGTTAGAGCAAGCAGGTCCAAAGGTAAGTCAGTAGGGAGAATACGGATCTCCCTTGTAGCAGAGAGGAAACACAATCTTGGGATATCTAGCTGTCATTTATTTTGGCAGAACAGAGTCCTACTCTTTCTGGAGCCCTGCTACCCATGGGGCCAGAGTTACCACGTGCTCAGAGCTGTTTCCCTTCTGTGGAATCAACAGATGCTGAATTGCAGAGGCAAAAAT